ATAAAACCCCGGAGCGCTGCGCTGCGCACGGCTCCGCTCCCGGCGGTGCTGCCGCCGCGGCATTTCCTACGCGGGTTTTCCACACAATAGTGCAGTGTGGGAACTGCTCCTGAATGGGGCCCTTGTTCGGTGGAAGGAGCGCGGGGACGGCGGCCCGGAGCTTTTCCACGGACTTGAGCTCGGTGTCTGGCACTGAGCTTTCCTGCTTCCTTACAGAGACGTTGAGGGAGACGAACCGGCTCGATGGGTGTTCGGACCGTGCAGAGCGCTGGTGTTTGCAACCAGCCGCACCAAGCGGAGCTCCCTCGTCCTTCCTCCAGCACCTTCCTCCCCAGTAACTCAGGGCAATCCCTTCCTCTGCATCCTGCACTACTGCAAACGACTGCCGCAGGTGCAGGGTACGCTGAGCTAGAAAACCCTCTGCGACACTCGCTGCTCTTCAGTTCCATTTCCTGGGCAGCTGGGGCCCAAAGAACCACCCGGGTTTGTGCACGTGAAAAAGGGACTGCAGTTGTGGGGGGCATTGCCTATTGCGCCCCACAGCTGCACCTTGATGGGCACCCCCTAAGTGCTGCTTCCACAAGCTTTGTGCTCTTTTTTTTTTTTTTTCTTTTTTCATAATTAAGTTATTTGGGCATTAAACAGAATGGAGATGTGCAAGATGCCAGAAGCAGCAATAAAATGATAATTAGCTCATCAAGAGCTTCACTCCAAAACCAAATTACATAGGAATTCAATGTTGCTGGATTCTGGCCAACCATTATAAAGAAGGATCATTTATATTCTGTTGCTTCCCTTAAAACGTTGCTTATTCTGATCCTCGACAGCTTAAAGCCACGCAAAGTGGGAGAGAAAATAAATAAGCCTGTTGCTCTCCCACTCCGGTTTCCTTTTGTGTGGCACGTGAAGGTGCCTTTCAGCCCTCCTACGAGTGCCCAGTGCCGGTCACAGCGCTCTAGGTCATCTGAGCCTCGATGACTTTATTGTAGCATTATGGTGGCCTGTCTACAGCCAGCCCTCAGATCCAGGGGTTCTAGCAAGTGCTGCCCTGTCCCATGGGGCGACAGACAGTTCTGTATCAGCCACCTCCCTGTGGCCCATCCGCGGCCAACATCGCTGTTTAGCATCTGACACCCCAAACTGCCCCATCACACCTCGTGGGGACCAGAAAATTGACCATTTCCCAGCCTGGAAGAGCCCCTGCCCGCGCTACTCACGGCAGGTTGACCTCCCACTGCATCACCGTGCGGTCGTCCCCGCCGGCCGTGAAGAGGTAGCGCCCGTCGTAGGAGCTGGCGAGGTCGGCCACGCCGTCCGGGTGGCAGATGAAGGCGGAGGACTTGTGGGGGTTCCCGTCAGCAGGCAAAATCTGCACGCCGACCTGCGAGGGAACAGGGATGCGGCGAGGGCTCGGCTCCTTTCCCGGGCTGCCAGGGCTGGAGCATCCCGCAGACCCTGCCCCGAGGGACGGGAATGCGGGAGCCTTCCCACGGCCACGGTGCTGGAGCAGGGAGCATCCAGCACTGCGGACATCCGGCTCCTCCGACGCAAGCAGGCGGGATCCGCACCTTGTCCTTCGTGATGTAAGCCAGGTAGCGCTTCTGGGGGTCCGTCAGGTTTGTTGGGAGGATTTGCATCTTCTCCAGAGGGGAGCCATAGGTTGGTCCCAAAACAGTCTTTCTAAAAGGCAAACACAACATCTTCCCCTCTGGGCCGTTGTTGAGCGCAGGAACGGCTGGCTCGTCCCACACATTGGTGAGCAGCACAAGGGAGGCAAGGATGGAGCTCCATCAGCATCGCTGGTGGGCAAACACATGCTCCCGAAAAGAGCAGGGCAGGCATTGCGAAGAGGAAAATCCAAAACCAGGATGGGGCTCCCAGGCGGAAGGTGAGAGGATGTGGCACTACGAGGGCTGAGCCCCTCCTCTACCTGCACATTTTGGTCGTGGTGTTGTAGAGCTTCATCTTGTAGCAGCTGTTGGCGGTGAGGATGAAGGACTCGGCGCCGAGCTGCGGGTACCAGGCCAGGCAGAGCGGCATGGCCGCCTGCTCTACGCGGTCCCGGCGCAGGACGGCCAAGTGGCCCTTGCTGCTGCTGCTGAGGTCGTACTCAACCTGCAGGGCAGACAAGGAAATGCAGCGATTCCTTCGGGCTCGGCCAGCAAATGGGACTAACTGGATCCAGCAGCCACCGCTAGGACCAGGGTGAGCACCGAGGCCAGCAGACCAGAGGCCGCAGTGAGGACCAGCCCCTGTGATAGGTGGGGATTAAGGAGCCGGAGAGCCGGACACGGAGTCTCCCTTGACCCCTTGGGAAGCCCCTGCTTTTCCCAGCGGGTTTCCCAGCCCGCGGCCTCACCAGCTGCCTGTCCTCGGCGAGGCTCAGCAGCCGGGGCTCGTCGCTGTCGAGCTGCACGCCGAAGAGGACGCCGCGGATGCGCCGCGCGTGGGCGTGCAGCCCCGCCAGGTGCTCCCAGCACCGCTGCCCCGTCCGCAGGACCCCTCTGTAAACCGTCACCGCCAGGTTCTCGTCCTGCAACGACACGGAGGCTGACGAGCTGCCACCCCGCCGTGTCCCCTGGCCGCCAGCATGAGGAAAACCAACTCACAGCGGTCGCGAGGTACTCGGAATCGTGCGAGAAGCTCATGTGAGTCACGGGGCCGTGCGAGAACTTGAACTCTTGGCAGATGGAACAGAGAGAAATCGCGTCGAGGATGTGAACGGTCCCGTCGGCAAAGCCGGCTGCCAGGAGGTGACCTGAGAAGGAACCAGGAGGTGGTGGTGGCACCAGGGCCGCGCGTCCCGCGCGCTCCGCACGCAGGGCGAGCGCCGGCCCGGGGCACCTTTGGGGCTGTAGCACAGGCTCTGGATGCTGCCCCCAACGAATATCCTGCTAACGAGGCACGTGCTCTGCTCGTAGTCCCACACCCGCAGCAGCCCGCAGTGACTCCCCACCGCGACGAGTGCTTGCTTGGGGTGACACGCGATGGCCGTCACAGCTCTCTCGGGCTCCTCCATGAGTTTTTCATATTTTGTCCCATCTGTTGCAACGTGGAACACTGTTGCATCAGCAGTTGAAAGGATAAAGTTCCTGTTAGTGTGAAAGAAACAGAATTTGATCAGTCAGACCAGCTGGCTCATCTCCCTCCATGCCATACAGCACCTTATTCTCCTGGTGGCAGCTGAGCTGGACGATGGCCTATATTTTGTGGTATGCAATATGCAGAGACTTCCGACCAGGAAGGCAGGTGGCACTTTGTGTTCCTGACCTGGTAAGTCTCCATTTGCAGACACTGGAGCTGGTTACATTTTCTGCTCGGGTAGGCAAGTCAGAAGACAAACGACATCTGGGGAGGATTTGCCATTTGCAAGTCACTGGTGTGTGAGAGGGATCAATGAGCAATTGAGGGCAGCTCTGAATACTCCTTTCACCCGTCTCCGCGCCACCGTTGTCGGCGGCCACGTTGGCTGCGCGGGACGGACGGGGCGAGCGCAGAGCGGAGACCCCGGCGCAGACAGAGCAGCTGCCCGGGCGCCCGCTCAGCCGCGACGGCCCCGCTGCGGAACCGGCCGCGTGGAACAAGGACGTCCGAATAATTCTGCATGTTGTGGAACAAACGTGTTTGCTCACCCGTCAGCCTGAGGACTCCAAACCCGGGCCCAGCTAAAGGAGTGCACAGACCTACATACAAGAGCTGCCCATGTGCAGGGCCGGTGGGCAGGGCTGATGGGGAGATTGGGGCATCTTTTGCCCCGAAAATGCCTCGTGAGCTGAATCCTCACCCAGGGCTTGAGTCTCTGTTCTGAGGGGCACCAGCAACCTATGAAACACTCGTGGGGTCTGCAAGACTTGCAGAGGGGTGCTGGGACCTCTGGTGCTCATGGACAGGAGTGTTTGGAAGAGCCGCTGTTGTAACTGCGGTCCCTGCGAGCCTGGGCACAGGCGCGTGTCCCTGCTAGCGACCAGCTCCCACGTGCCTGGCCCCTGCAAGTGAGGATGCTGAGCCCTAGAGGAACAGGCTCTTGGCTTTCCCTTTGCTTTTCTGCCTGTTTGCCTTCCCAGATGGGCTGTAAACAGCAGAAGCTGCAGCAGTGACCCAGGAGGCACGAGACTGCGGCGGCTGATGGGGACCCAAGAGCCACACGCCAGGAGAAGCCGCTTCCCGGGACCGGTCCAGGCTGCGAAGGAACCCGGGACTGCTCCGTATGCAACAGGGCAGCGAGTCCTGCTCGGGATGTCCCCTGCATCGCTGCCGTTTCGGGCTCCATCCCACCATCACAGACTGATCCCGATGCTGCTGCCTCCCCTGCCCTGACGCCTCGCGCAGGGACAGAGTTAAAACCTGCCCCAGCCCAAGGGGGTCACCCTCAGCCGGAGGCTCCCGCAGCTCTGGAGCAGGGGACGGGGCGCCCACCTGACGACGAAGGGCTGCCCGCCCAGGGTGCAGGAGCTGGCGTAGTCTGCAGCGGCGCTGGGAGGTGCTTTGGAGAAGGAGATGGAGCGGATGGGCCCCACATGCGGGTGGCTGTACCAGTTCACGAGCTGCAGCTGCCCGTCGTAGAACTTGACGTCGCCTTTGACGTCGCACGTTACAAAATAGCTGGAGGGAAGGAGAAAGGTTTGGGGATGGGAAAGCGCTGGAGAGCAGCTGGCCTGTCCCCGTGAGCCCAGACATGCCATAAGGTCCCTAAAGCACCCATTTCTGGGTGAAAAGAAGGGTGAGAGGACTTAAACCCATGGCACTCAGTGGTGGCACGTCTAGGGGCCGTGCCAGAGGCTGGTGGCAGCCGTGGTGGCGTCACCTGTCCGACACGGTGAGCACGGTTATGCCGTCCTTCTGCACGGGCACCAGTTTGATGGCCTTCATGGTGTGCGGCTTCGGCGGCGGCTCCCGGGGGAGGGGTTTTTTTTTCACCGCTCCCCACAACCCCAGCTTCCCCGCCGAGGTGCCCGTCAGCGCTTGCGAGTTGTTGAAATGGAACACGGACTGGCTGAAGTGTCCCACCGCTTTGCCGAAGGTCTGCGGGGCGAGCAGGGAGGCGGTGCCGCTTGGGGGCTGCTCCCACGCCAAGTGTCACCTTTGGTGACATCCCTGGGGTCACCACGGGGTCCCCTCCCATCCCCTGGCAGGATGGTGGCCACGTGCCAGGAGAAGATGCTCTTGCAGGACCGGGAGGCCCCTTTGGCCCCTGCTGCCATCACTCACCTTGTCCGTCAAAGGCGGCGCGCCGAACTGCAAAGCAGCGTCGCTCTGCGGGGGAAACCAGCACGTCAGCGTGACAACAGCCCTTTTATCCCCGCGCTTTGCAGTCCCCGTTGTCCCCTGCTGCCCCACACCGTGACGGCCGGAGCACCACGCTGCTCAGCGAGACCAGAGCATGAGGTCGGGAGCTCCACCAGCACCGAGGACACAACACCCCGCTGCCCCGCGCTCCTACTTACCCACTGGTAAAATATCACCTGGCTTTTACCATTGCTGACAAACTCGGAGGCGTTCTGGGGGTTAAAAACGACGAAATCCTGGAAGGAAGCGGCGAGGCTCGTGCCCAGCCCTCGGGAGCCGCGGGCCCCGCCGCGGCCCCGCTCACCTGGCGCCCGGCGGCGGGCGGCAGCTCCGCGCTGCACACGGGCGTCCCCGCGGGGCACGGCCCCTTCCACACGCAGA